TTCTCCTTGAATCAAGAATCATATCTAGAATAGAATTGTTCTCTCTTTTTTCCCCCACTGTATCCTGGGCCATCACCAGTCATCCTGACTTTTAAAAAAATTTATCTTTAGTTTTCAATATTCACTTCTACAAGATTGAGTTCCAAATTTTCACCCCAACTTGCCCCTCTCCTCACCCCAAAATGCCATGCATTCTGAATATCCCTTCCCCTAGTCTTCTTTCCCTTTTATCTCTCCCTTTCTTCTCTTATCCCCCTACTTCTGTTTTCCTGTAGGGCAGGATAGATTTCTGTACACAATTTCCTGTATTTCTTATTTCCCAGTTGCATGTGAAAACATTTTATTTAAACATGTGTTTTTAAAACTTTGAGTTCCAAATTTTCTCCCTTCCTCCCTCTCCACCCACTCTCATTGAAAAGGCAAGTACCTCAATATAGGTTATACATGTGCAGTTATGCGAAACACTTCCATAGTAGTCATGTTGTGAAAAACTAACTCTATTTCCCTTAATCCTATCCCACCCTCCTCATTTATGCTATTCTTTCTTTTGACCCTGTCCCTCCTCAGAAGTGTTTGCTTCTGATTACCCCATTTCCCAATCTGCCCTCTTCCCTATCATTCCCCTGTTCTCTTGTGCCCTTCTCCCCCTATTTTCCTGTAGGGTAAGAGAGATTTCCATACCCAATTGAGTGTGTATGTTATTCCCTCCTTAAGCCAAATCCTATGAGAATAAGATTCACTCATTCCCTCTCACCTTCCCCTGTTTCCCCTCCACTGTAAGAGCCTTTTCTTTTCTGTTTTTTTTTGTGAGATGATTTACTGCATTCTACCTCTTCCTTTCTCCTTCTCCCAGTGTAATCCTCTCTCACCCCTTAATTTTATTCTCCAGATATGACCCCTTCATCTTCAACTCATCCTGTGCCCTCTATCTATCTATCTATCTATCTATCTATCTATCTATCTATCTATCTATCTATCTATATCTATATCCATACATACAGTTTTTTCCCTCCAACTACCCTAACACTGACAAAGGTCTTGTGAGTTATAAATGTCATTTTTCCATGCAGGAATATAAACAGTTCAACTTTAATAAGTCTCTTATGATTTCTCTTTCCTGTTTACCTCTTCATGTTCCATTTGAGTCTTGTATTTGAAAGTCAAATTTTCTATTCAGCTCTGGTCTTTTTATCAAGAATGCTTGAAAGTCCTTTTTTTCATTGAATAACCATTTTTCCCCCTGAAGGATTGTACTCAGTTTTGCTGGGTAGGTGATTCTTGGTTGTAATCCTATCTCCTTTGCCCTCCAGAATATTATATTCCATGCCCTCCTGTCCCTTAATGTAGAAGCTGCTAAATCTTTTGTTATCCTGATTGTGTTTCCACAATACTTGAATTGTTTTTTTATGGCTGCTTGTAGTATTTTCTCCTTGACCTGGAAACTCTGGTATTTGGGTACAATATTCCTGGGAGTTTTCCTTTGGGGATCTCTTTCAGGAGGAGGTCTGTGGATTCTTTCAATTTCTATTTTGCCCTGTGGTTCTAAAATATCAGGGCAGTTTTCCTTGATAATTTCTTGAAAGATGATCTCTAGACTCTTTTTTTGATCATGGCTTTCAGATAGTCCAATAATTTATTTTTTTATTTTATTTTTTTTTTAAGGCAAGGTTTATTAGAACATCCATCATATTGGGCAGACTCTTACGGAGTCTGAACATGAGTAAGCAGTTGCTAGGTTATAAGAATATCTGAGCCATGGCTAGATTATAAGAATCTAAGCCCCAATAATGTTTAAATTGTCTCTCCTGGATCTATTTTGCAGGTCAGTTGTTTTTCCAGTGAGATATTTCACATTGTTTTCTAATTTTTCATTCTTTTGGATTTGTTTTACAGTGTCTTGATTTCTCATAAAGTCACTAGCTTCCAATTGCTGTATTCTAATTTTTAAGGAAGTATTTCCTTCAGTAAGTGTTTGGACTTCCTTTTCTGTTTGACCAGTTTTACTTTTTAAGGCATTCTTCTCCTCATTGGCTTTTTGGACCTCTTTTGCCATTTGGGTTAGGCTATTTTTTAAGGTGTTATTTTCTTCAGTATTTTTTTGGGTCTCCTTTAGCAAACTGTTGACTTGTTGTTCATGATTTTCTTGCATCACTCTCATTTCTCTTTCCAGTTTTTCCTCTGCTTCTCTTACTTGCTTTTCAAAATCCTGTTTGAGCTCTTCCATGGCCTGGGACTGATTCATATTTTTTTTGGAGGCTTTGGATGTGGGAGCTTTGACTTTGTTGTCTTCTTTTGGTTGTATGTTTTGATCTTCTTTGTTACCAAAAAAAGATTCTGTGGTCTGACACTTCTTGCGAGGTTTGCTCATGATCCCAGCCAATTACTTGAGTTATAAACTCCTTGTTTGTGTAGGGTTCTGCTTCCAGTGTGGAGAATGTACTGTCCCAAGCTTTGGGGGTTTGTACAGCTGTTTTTAGAGATAATTCTTGGGAAGTGTAAATTTTCAGTTTTTCCAAGGTGGTATGATAAAGGGCGAGGTGTTGACTCCTTTCCTGGCCTGTGCTTTGGTCTGTAAGTGACCAGAAGCTCTCTTTTCTGTCTCGGAACTGTGAGGAGGATTTGCTCTTCACAGCCGCAACAAGCTCCACCACACCAGGGCTCCTCCTTGCCCCACGACTGCCACCCAGAACTGTGACCCAGATCCAAGCATGGGCAAAGCAAGAGATTCCTGCCTCAGCACTGGCAAAGAGATCCCTGAAATCCCCCTCTGATCAGCCACTTGATTCCCCCTCAGTCTGTGGGCCAGAAGCTCAGGAGGGAGCCATTGCCCCTTGGCAGTGCTCAGCTCTCTGTGCTCTGTGCTTGGGAACTGGTTCTGAGACCTAGCTCCTCTCTCACCACAGAAACAGACTTTTCCCACTGACCTTCTAAGTTGTCTTTGGTGTTCTTGGGTTGAGAAGTCTGGAAGCTGCCACAGTTGCCCCTGATTCAGTCCTCTGAGGCCTGCTCCAGGTTCCCTGCGGCCTGCATGCTCACGCTGAGCTGCGCCTCTCTCCCAGCCGGGTGTGATATCCAGGTTGTCTTGGGCTGGAAATTTGTTTCACTCTGTCTTTTTGTGGGTTCTGCTGCTTTAGAATTTGTTTAGAGCCATTTTTTATAGGTATTTGGAGGGGTACTTGTTATCTGCCTTCATTAGGAAAAAGTGGTCAAAACTCAGCATTGAAGTATCTCATTTAACAAACATTAAATGTCTGTTATGTGTGCAATGTATTGTACTAGGCTCTAGGCAAGGAAAGTGGGACATGGTTCCTATCCTCAATATATTAATTGTCATTCTGATATGTTTTATAAAGTGAAAGACCATGAGTAGATCATTGTGAATATCTGTTTTTCTCTCTATGTTGACTTGTGAAGCTTTAGGAACACTTTTCCTTGCTGTGCTGAAAAGTTGTAGATTGAAATTGAGGATGCTAAGTACATTAATCTATTCATCTTAGGCAGTCACTTAATGCAATCTTTATTTCAGTCTTAAAATTTGCTAAACTCCTAAATGTATTGTAGGTTGGCTAAAAAGATATTCTGATTTTTTTCAATGATAAATGATTGTATTTGATTAACATGAAGCCATTCATAATTTCTATTTTGGGACAGCATGTGGGAGATTTAGCTTTAATGGAGGTTTCTTTCTTTCTAGGAAATTATCGAATCATTTTAGTTTAAGTATCATTTTTTTGGGGAAAATTCAAAATTATAAATTAAGCACAATTTTTATGTGCTCATTTTGAATTTAAATATAATCAATCTTTTTTCTCTAGTCAGCATGGTTGATTATAGGCCAAGGTTGGTTATAGACTCAATCTCCATATGAACCAGTTAGCTATATAAAGTCAAATGGTGATAAAACATATATTCTTAAATGTTTAGCTGTGTTGCACTTTTTTTTAATCCCTAAAATAAGTTTCCTTTCATCAAAAAGGGTTCTGGGCAAAAGAATGTGGCTAAATTAGCACAAAGCCATCATTACTGCTGAAATACCAAGAGCACCAGTTTTTAAAGTGATGCATTTACTTAGTTAACCCAGGTAGCTCACTTATTCCCAGTGACAAATTTATACTCTTAAAATCTTTTTAAGACTAAAATATGCATTTACTAGTTGTTTACTGGTCTTTTGTCCTATAGTTCTCTCTCCTTCATCCTTCAGAGCATAGCTGCAGTTTTTTTTCCCCTTCACCTTAGAGGGTTTGAGAGGGAATCAGATAAATATTTCAAAAGCCACTCCATGATGCTTTTTATTTGGATTGTTAGTGTGCCACAGTTTAATTTTATTTTAGAGGAATTAATTTATGGCATTATTAATATCTATGTGATTTTAAAAGTTAAACTAAATCTTCAGGAATATATTTTAATACTCTTTATTTCTCCTGCTGCTGTAAAGACTAACATTATTCTAATAGCATGGATTGATGGACTGAAATAGATATGTTTGTCCTTAAAATAAGTTTCCCTTATTTAAGAAATTAAATTTCTTTCTGTTTCAAATGCTATACATTGTTCTTAACAATGTTGTTTTTGTGTTGTTACCTGTCTCCTGATAGAAGTGGTGGAATCAGGTGCAAAAAAAGACAATACACTTTTGTACATGGTCACTATGTGGATTTGTTTTGCTTGACTATTTACGTGAAATAAGGGTGTTTTTCCCCCCAACTTTTGATTTGAGGGAGCTTGGAAGGAGAGAGAGAAATTGTGATGCCAAAACAAATTAGTAGTTGAAACAATTTTTTTTTTAATGTACAAAAGGAATTCAGAAGAAACAATGGACTAACAGGGCAGTTTTGAAAGTAACATGTTCAGTTACTGTACTTAAAAAAAAAACCCAAGACATACGAAATGGATTTCATATACAGTTCTTCTTTGTATTCCACTTTGTATATAGAAATTATCTTTTCTGGTGCGTAATTTCAGAATAAAAATAAAATTAAAAGAAATGTATTGCTTTTCAGGTATTTTTGACAAATTCTGCTAATGTCTTTTTATTGGAGCCATGTGCTGAAGTTCCCATGCTTTTGAAAGAGCAAGTTGATGCCTGTAAAGCTGTTTTGAGTATTTTTAGGCACATGATAATGGAACTTGCAATGAACAAAAAGACATGGTAAGTTTACTTTTCAAAGAAATTGATGTGGTGTGTTTTAATTTTTAACAGTGTAATTAAAATATTAAAGTACTGCTTTACTGCTTGTTATAAAATCTTCAGTGAGTCCCAGTTGTTATTGAATAAGGGATTTCTGTGAATTATGAAGAATTTAAACACAAGAGACTGTGCCTTGGTAGTTCATTGTTTTTGAATATTGATATTAGAAATATTCTTGGGGGCAGCTAGGTGGTGCAGTGGATTGAGCACCGGCCCTGACATCAGGAGGACCTGAGTTCAAATGTGGCCTCAGACCAAACACTTGACACTTAATAGCTGTGTGACCCTGGGCAAGTCACTTAACCTCAATTGCCTTAAAAAAAAATTTTCGAATTGAGAGTGACTAGATCACTTTATTGTGGTGTGTATGTACATACATTTTATATATATAATTTCCACATTAAAACATGTTAAGTGGTTTTGTGAGAAGTTAACCCAGTAGTTTATTATATACTTTAATATAATGTGTAAACTGAAATCAGTTCAATAGCTGTTTAAGATATTATGGAATATTATATTTTTCTACTTACCTGTTTGTTGATAATTTTTTAAAATGTTAGCAAGGAGACTTAATAAGGAGTTTTAAATCCATTCTGGAAAAAAACATTTTCATATAAAAAACAAAAAGACAGAATAATTTAATACATTTTATTAAAATCAAAGTGATGTTATTATATTGACCCAACTGACTCTTTCTGTTTTTTATTTTCTTTGAAGTAGTGATATTTATAATCACAGTCTGGGGTCTCAAGGAGCTCACATTTTAATTGGAAAGACAATAGGGTTCAGCTGTAGGGCTTTTGGAAAGGCCTAGTGGTTGTAGTGCAGTAACAGGGTAAATGGCAAGACCCAGGGGCCCTTGAGGTACAGCATCAGGTCAAATGGTAAGGGCTTATGCTCTGCCATTGTATCAAAATGGTTGTAGTTGATAATTCTCTATTCATCAAAGTGGAGTGAGTGACCATGTATGCCCTGCTGACGGGGGGGGGGGGGTGGGGGGGGGACCTGGGCTTATGACAATAGAGCCATTAAGTGTTTCAAAATGTATGTCCAAGATATCTTAAACTCATCGTGTCCAAAGGGGAACTCATTATCTTCCTCCCAACTCGCCTGTCTTACATTTTCCTGTTTTTGTGAAAGGTATCACCATTCTTTTAGTCTCCCGATTTGCCAGCTTCTGCATTAATCTTAATTCCTTCCTTGCACTCACCCCATATATATAAAATCAAGCTCTAAATTTGTTTTTACCAATAGAGCATGTTTCCCATCCAACCTCTTTTTACAGCAGTTATCATAGGGTTGCTAGACTGATTATTCAGGAGAATCTTGTAGATTACTTAAATTTTGACTAATCATTTGGTAAAATTTCTTATGCTATTCTTGTGAGAAAGATGATGAGATAGAGTAAATATGGTAATATTGTTGAGTAAATTTCTGGAACCGATTGAACAGCTGGACCTAAAAAGTAATCATTAATTAATTGATGTCAGCTTGGAAGGAGATCTCTATTTGTAAACTCCAGGGATCTGTCTTTGTTCCTGTGCTTTTGAACAGTTTTATCAGTGACTTAAATAAAGATATAGATGCAAACTTATTTAATAAACATATGCTACTTTGAGGTGTAGCCAACACTGGATAACAATATTCAAGAATATTGACAGGTTAGAATGTTGAGCCACATTGACTTAGATGAAAGTAAGTAGATATAAATAAATTGCCTTACCTTTGTGTTTGGAAAGTCAGCTTCCCAAGCATTCATTATGTAGAAATACATGGCATGGCAGCAATTTGTCTGAATAGGATCTGGGGTTTTAGTAGCCTGCAACCTGAAAATGTAATGCTAATATTGTTTTATGGCAGCCAAGAAAGGCAAACTTAGGTTTTCATAAGAGAACCATAGTTCTCAGAAACTGGAAGGTGGTTGTCCTGCTGCTCTGCTCTACCATAGTCATAACTCATCTGGAGTATTGTGTTTAGTTATGGGCACTGCAGTTTAGGAAACAAAAACATTGATAAGCCAGAAATCATTCAAAGAAGGGTGACCAGGATGTTGAAGAACATTGAATTCATGCCAAATGAAATAGCTTCAAGAGATTGGGGATGGTTAGCCTGGAGAAGAGAAGGTAAGGATGAAATCGAATTATCAGATATTTGAAGAGCTATCATGTGGATGAGGATTAGATTTATTCTCCTTGACTGTAGAAGGCAGAACTAGAAGTAATAGGTGGAAGAAGTAAAGAGGTAAATTTAGGCTAAGGGGAAAAAATTTTCCCAACAGTTGGAGTAAGTCCAAAGAGGAATGAGCTGCCTTGGGCTCTATGACCATATTTCAGGTATGTTGTAGGAGAGGAATCTTGCTCAGGTATAGATTAGATTAGATTAGATGTTATTTGAGATTCTTCTGACTCTTGGATTCCATTATTCTGAGTCTGTAATTTTGTAATTTCTCAACTAAGCTTTACAGTTAAGAGGAGACTTGAAGAGGAAGAGAGCTACAAATATGATTACAAAATAAGACCTCTAAGGAAAGGTTAAAGAAAATTAAGTTTTTGACACATATTGAAGAAAAAAAGCCAAGGAATTTAGTAGTGGATTTTCCTTAAAGAACCACAATTAGCTGTCTGTCTCCACTGAGATGAGAATTTTTAAAAATGGCAAAAATGAATGATTTAACTGGCTTCTGAAAAATTCCCAGATGAAAAAGATTGTTAAATGTGACTACTACTTTGTACTTATGTAGCGATTTATGTTTTTAAAAGCAATTTTGTATGAAAGTGTGAATCTTCACGAAGGTTGTTTTTTTTACAAGTGTGTTAAATTGTTATTGGAATAGTTATCAGTTTTATCTGATTTGAGAGTGGTCTAGATCAGCACTTCTTAAACCGTGGGTCATGACCCACAGTTCAAGAAGCACTGAAGGGCCCTGGTCTAGATCACATAGTGTCTTGAATATGGGTACTTGGCAAATACATTAGATAACCTCTGAGACTAATCCAGTTGTAAGAATCGGTATTTGAGATTTGACAGTAACCTTAATATCTGTACACTAAAGAACTGACTGACATTTTCCCCACCATGTAAAGCCATGCTACATTTGATAATAGAAATTAAAATGTTTTGAGGTGTTTAAAAAAGTGCTAAAATCAAGGTGTTACATTTGCTTTCCCAAAATAGAAATTATTGATAGCTTCATGTTAATCAAATACAGACTCATAGTCTGTGATTCCTGCAGGACTCACTGTGTCCAAAATTACTTTGTATATGGTAATGATAGTGCAGAATTAGGAGAATTATTTTTAAATGTTTGTTTTTTATTCCAAGATTGTATATTTTGGTAAAATTGTTATTTTCTTGATAAGACAATTAAGATTCTTTGATTGATACATGGTTTTTGGTCCATGTAATCTTTGACTCATTTCTTGCGCTTACTCCAAATATCCAATCTGATGCCAAATTTTACCAATTTTCCCTTCACAACAGCTCTTGTTTATGTCCTAGTTTTTCCCACTCATGCAGCCATGACCGTGGTGCAGCCTCTTGTTACCTCACCCCTGGACTATTTTAATAGCCTTCGGATTACTCTTTCTACCTTGTCTCTCCTTATTCAAATCTCTCCTCCACTTAGCTACCAAAATAATCTTCCTCAACCGCCAATCTGACCATGGCCCTCAACTCCAGTGGCTCTCTATTACCTATAAGATCAAAATAAATTTAAAGTTCTTTATTTAGCATTCAGAATCCTTTACAACCTTGCTCATGTCTGTTGTTCCTGCCCTCTTACACTCAATTTCCCTTATACTCTTCAATCCAGCAACATAGAGTGCTGTTTGCTATACACAAGACGCTAGCTTTTGACTCTGTCCCTTTTCATTGGCTATTTCCCATACCTGGAATACTTTCCCTCCTCACTTCTGCCTGACTTCCTTCCAGACTAGGCTTCTATCCTTCCTTCTGCAAGAAGACTTTCCTGGTTTCCCTCCTTTCCCACTAGTGCCTTCCCTCTGAGATTGCCTTCCATCTCCTCTGTATAAATCTTGTATGTATGTAGTTGTTTGTATGTTGTCTCCCATATTAGAATGTAAGCTCCTTGAGGGCAGGGGCCATTTTTTTTTTGCCTTTCTTTGTATCCTCGATACCTGGCACAGTACCTTGCATGTAGTAAGTGCTTAATATGTACTTACTGAATGATTGACTCACAGCAGTGTTTCTAATTTGAGAGTTTAATAAAATTGAAATGATTTACCATTGTGATGAATAATGTGTGGAATTTACATGCAACTTTTATTTTGGGGGTCCAGGGAGCAGATGTTGCAAATACTACTCAGGATAACAGAAGCTGTCATGCAGAAGCCAAAGGATAACCAAATAAAGGACTTGTTTGCCCAGAGCTTGGCAGGGTTACTGTTTAGGGTAAGTCTTTAAAAAGAAACAAATAAAACAAACCAAAGAACAAAAACCCACAAATCTGAAGAGCTAGCCAGGTTTCATATATAATACTTTAGTTTTGACCATTAATAAATTTTTTAAATGATGAAAATAAATTTATGGTTTACTTAATTAACTTTATGTAATTTATGGGATTTTCTGTTTTCATTTGGAGAGGCAGAATGGTGAGGTAGATGGAGGGCTAGCCTTGGAGTCAGGAAGACCTGAATTCAAATGTTATTTTACCTCAGATATAAACAAACTTTGTAGTTGGGGCAAGTCTTATACCTCTCAACACCTTAGATAATTCTCTGAGTTCTACATTGGTAAAGGGAATTTCCCCATTGGGTGTTCCCTACACTAATGAAATCACAGGTGTAGTCTTTCCTCCCCTACCGATACTCCCTCACCTCTATTTTTTTGTTTTGAAGTTAAAGACTTATTTCCATCATCCATGATTTTATTGTGTTGGGGTTCTTTAAGGTTTTTCTGCTTTTCTATCCACCACCCTTTGGATAAAGATGGTATATTCTGGAGGAATCTCTCCTATCATCTCTTATACCTGAGATACTTCTGGTGGGTTGCTATGTAGATTTGGACAAATGGGGAGATGAGGAAGAGCTTTTGATGTGATAAAGATATGGTTTCCAGACTTAAGGACTGCTTTAGCAGCATCCCATAAATTTTGCTATGTTGTTTGATTATTATCATTTTCTTTCACATAATTATTAATTGTATCTCTAATTTGTTCTTCAAGCAATTCAGTAGTTACGATTTCATTGTTAAGTCTCCATTTGGGTCTGTGTATGTCTGTTGTTCTCTGAACTGGTTACTATTTTTGTTACCTTATTGTCTGTAAAAACATGTGTTTACTACTTCTGCCTTTTTGCATTTATTTGCAGTATATCTGTGACTTGATATATGGCCATTTTTTCTAAATGTTCCATGTGTTGCTGAGAAATATATGTATTAATTAGTGGTCCTGTGTAGAAGACAACATAAGTTTTCGAGCTCTAATCTAGCAATTTCTCCTTTATCTTTCCATTGGATTTGTCAAAACTGAGAGAGGGGACATTAAAAACTCCTATCTCTATTGTATTACCGTCCACATCTTGTAATTCTGTTGATTTTTTTACTTATTATAGGCACTTTGATATTTGGAGCATATAAATTTAATGTAATTTTCTGGTTTCTCTCACTTTCTCTTTCTCTCTCTCTCTTTTTTTTTGGTAAGGCAATTGGGGTTAAGTGACTTGCCCATGGTCACACAGCTAGTAAGTGTCAAGTGTCTGAGGCTGGATTTAAACTCAGGTCTTCCTGACTCTGGGGCCAGTGCTCTATCTACTGCTCTATGTAGCCACCTTGGTTTTTCTCTTTTTATGTTGTGAATATTTGTTACAGTTCCTGCTTTTTTGGAATCACTTGATGTAAATTTTGCTCCAGCCCTTTATTTTTGTTATGTGTATGTCTTTGTTTTTAGGTGTGTTTGTCATAAGCAACAGATTTTATGGAATTTTGCTTTCTTACTCTGTTACTTTTTTTAAAAATTGGATTGTTTAATCCATTTACATTTAAAGTCAGAAGATTTAGGTTGTTACTATGCTCCATTTGTCCTTACTATTAGATCTTTTTCTGAATTAGTATTTTTCCCCTTCTATAAAAGAGATTAAAGTACTATATCTCTTCAGCTATTTTAGCTTAATCTTCTTTAAAGCAACCCTATTCCCTCCATCTTCAAGCCAACCCCCACCCCTTTGTCACCCCTTCCCCTAGTTCTATAGTTTTGCTTAATTTATTAATTGCTTTTTCTTCCTTTCATCTAGTTATCTAATTCTCCTCTTTTTTTCTTCCTAAAGTAAAATCTCTCTTCCTCTCTCCTTCAACTTGTTTTAAGATTTTTTTTTCATTTTCTGCTCTTTTTTCTAAAAAGAATTTCTTTCCCTTGTCCTCTTCATTATTTATCTTCCCCTTTTTGTCTTTTTTTACATTTATATTCTTTGATTGATGGCCTTTATATTTATTTATTCCTTTTTTAGTCTTTGTATTGATGGAATAAATTTTCTAAGGAATATATTTTGGGTTCCTACTTCTAAATTGTTTCTTTGTATTGCCTTGTAGATCTTACCCCTTGTTCCTTTTTTTTTTATTGCATCTCATTCTTAGAAATATCAGTTTCCCCAGATGATAAAGAAGATAGAAGAATTTCACTTGGTAGGAATTTTACTTTGTCCTGATTGTGAAGTTCCTTACTACCCTTTGCCCTTACTACATTCATTTTCCCCATTATGCCTTATGATCTTTTCCTGGGTCCTTACCTTCCCACTTCTCTGATGTCCCCATGGAGTGCTGATTCCCTTTCTCCTGAGGAAGGATAAGTGGTCTCTCTAAGCACAAAATCCCTGCAGTTAATGCCCATTGTAAGGTCCTCCGGTCTCAATATCTCTTCCTCCTTAAGAGTCTCTTGAAGATGAGGTAAGTCATGCAAATGTTATCATCTCTATTTTACAGAAAAAGAACTTAGGTTTAGAGAAATTAAGTGAGTTGGTTAAGGATATGCAGTAGGTAAGTATTAGAACTCAGGTGTCCTTGAATCTAGCACAGTCCTGTGCCCTTTCTACTATATCATAGTGAAAGCTAGTTTTCTCAGAGGTGTTATAATAAAGTAAAAAAAATACTCTCATTCCCAATCTCTTCCACTTTTACTTTGTATAGTACTTAAAGTTGTTGTTATTTCCCATTTCTACCCAATCCAATTCAGTAATCCAGACCAGCTCCACTTAGCACATTTTCAATAATTTGTAAATATCCTTTTACAATTTTGTTTCCCTATGATTTTGGTCATACTCTAAATGCTGTCTTTTAGCTTTGGGTTCTCTCTAAAACAAGAATTTTTAATCTGGGGTCTGCAAACTTAAAAAAAACCTTTTGACAATTATCTTTCAGTTTAATTTCATTGTAATCGTAAGCTTTTTGTTCTATGCATTTAAAAACACTGTTCTGAGAAGGGGATCATAGATTACACTAGACTCCCAAGGTAGTCCATGACACAAAAAAAATAAATATTTTCTGCCTTACAGACATTTTTATTCTTTTGTTTTATAGATTAAAGAGACTTTATATCATTCAGCAAATATCTTTGTTGACATATACTTTTAAAATTTGATATCTTTTATTTTTACATTACCTTTATTTCCCAATATATCTTCTCCATTTCCCCTCCAAGAGAGCCATCCCTTATAATGAAGAATAAAAACATTGTAGTTCTTCAAAACTAATCAACATATCAATTAAGTCCTACATTATGTGCAGGTTTCCCTACCTTCAGATCCCTACTTCAGTCAAGAAGGAAGAGAGGTAATTCATGTTCTTTTTTGATGAGAGGCAATGTTATACTTATTTGATAAAGTTTTGAACTCAAAGTCAAATATTACCTCTGTATGTATTAGCTGTATGACCAAGAGCAAGCCATTTAATATCTGTGAGCCTTGGGAGATTCTCTAAGATGACATGATGGAGAAATCACTGAACAAGTATATTTACTTGTTATTACCATACCTAATATGTTGGAAAAGTCAATTTAATTATAAGCATGGAGTCTTTTCCTTGAATACATAGAGTTAAGGAAGAGTTTTATATCAGTGATTTTAATTTCTGGTTTTTGGTAATTAGGTGGCTAAAGCATAATGTAGTTCAAAGGGGATTTGGCTCAGTCAGAGAAACAGGGTTCAAAGCCCACATCCCTACCCCTTTCCCCCAGCCCCAAAACACACACACACACACACACACACACACACACACACACACACACACACACACACTCACACACACACTTGCAAGTTGTATTAACTTGAGCGAGACAAGTCACCTAACCTTTCTGGCCTTTAGTTTCCTCATCCCTAAATATATAGATTGGACTAGATTAGCTCTTTCCTCTTTGTAGGTTTATCATTCCATAATTTATAAGCGTGCCTAAATTAAGAACTCATTGACAATAGTTTGATATTTATTTCATTTCATTTCATTTCATTTCATTTCATTCATTCATTTACTTATTTATTTATTTTGGTGAGGCAATTGGGGTTAAGTGACTTGCCCAGAGTCACAGCTAGTGAGTGTTATGTGTCTGAGGCCAGATTTGAACTCAGGTCTTCCTGACTTCAGGGCCAATGCTCTATCCATTGCACCAACTCGCTGCTCTGTAATTTTTTTTTTAATTAAGAGAAAAGAAATCTCTTCCCTTATCATCTATTTTAATATAGATTTACTGAGCCATACATTTTCATGAATGATAGTGTCATGTGTATTTAGAAACATTTTCTCCATTACTTTCTAAGACTAGCCAATCAAGAAAATAACAAATTAAACCCAATTTGTAGCATTTGCCAATTTCTGAGGTGTTAAAGCTTGCACTGAAAATTTAACAATTGGATTCTCCAGAGCCAGCATGAACTGGCTCCGGCATTCTGTATATAAGTAGAAAATAGTTTAAGGGCAAAAATATTCTTTTAAAAAGTCTCATTTCTTATGTGAATTTTTTTAAATTGGTTAAAATGTTTTTGAATAAGAATTTTATAACTAAATGGGACCTTGAAAATCATCTAGCTCACCTCTCTTTTTTTTTTAGATGAGGAAAGTGAGGTTTACCTCAGAGGTTGAGACTTGGTCAGGGTTATAAAGCTGTTTAGTATCATGGTATGGACTAGGACCAGGATGATCTGATCCTTCCATTAAATTGAACTGCTTTTTGAAAGAAAATTTTTAAAAAAATTCTTATATCTGGTTGTCCTTTTTTTCTGTTATTTAAGATTTTATTGATTGTTTATGAATTGTAATGCAGACTCAATTCCTATAGATATATATTTTTTGTATGTAGCAATATAAGTTAATTATAGGATTTCCATAGCACAGAAAGAAGTTATTTGCCAAGAGCTATAATGATTAGAAAATATTTAAGTAGCATGAGCCATAATGTTCGCATTTGCCCTTTTACACTAAAGCTATTATGATTTTATTCTTGAAGGAGAAATTTTAGAAAAAGCTGTAACTTTTAAGGAATATTAAAGCCAAATAAAATTAATTTTAAACATGATTTAATGCTTTATGTAAATACTATTTCTCTAGTCCTGTCTTTCTGATGATTTGTCTTGTAAATCATGCCTTTATACATTTTTGATGTTTAATAAATGTTTGAATTTGTGGAATTGAATGCTATTAATTTCCTCTTGGTCTTAGCCATATCTTTGGTCATTATTTTCTTTTGAAAACTTTTAATTATAAATGTAAATTTAGATCTAGTTATTTTAATTTTTCATTGCTTTCAATATTTAGGTTCATAGTTAATGTGAAATCTGAATGTAAATGCCTTATATTTTTGATGTTTTTAAATTGCTTTTGTAATTTTATGAATTTCAATGAAATATTTACATTGAACTTGAACGATGTAGGTCTATGCCCTTTTCCTTTTTTCTTGATGATTATTCTGATGTTTTTGTTTACTGGATTACCTGATGGTAGTAGAATGCTCTCTGGCATCTTTTTCAGTCATATGAATTCTTTATCACTTCTTATACAAAGATAAATCTTTAAATCTTTGGATATATGCAAGCTCATTTTAATCATACTCCTGGTTTGTCAATAGATGTACTTTGAGGAATAAAAATTAGAACTGCTAAACTTTTATAGTAAGCTGAATATTGGCCTATTTGTAAATCTGTAGGATTTAGTTCAATAAAAAGTCCCTTTTTAGATTGAAATTAGACTTCCTTACTTTCAGAATTTTACTGTGTTAGTATAAAGATGCAATTATGAGTTTGTACTTATAAACTTTGAGTGTCTTTCAAATACTGCTTTTATACAATAATTTTTAGTTAGTATATTTTCTTCTAATATGTATTAAATAAACTAACTGGGATAGGAAATCTAGTTTTATCTGGGTGGGACTCTTCATTATTTTCTGATTAGGTGCAGTTAAAGTTCTTGGATAGAGTCTTATAAACCTTAAGTCACAGGATTACAGATTTTAGAGCTGGAAAGAACATAATAGAACTTAGGCACAGAGAGGTTAAATGATTTACCCAGTGTCTTCTAAACCAGGATTTGAACCCAAATCTTTCTGACTCCAAGTCCAGTGCCCTTTCCTCTTCTATATAATTTGTCTGTTAACAACAAATAAACATATTTTAGAAAAGGGATCAGAGATGTGGAGGCAGAAAGGGACCTTAGGGGTCATCTAACTCAACTCTCTTATTTTATGTATGAGGGAACTGAGCTCCTTAGAGGTTAATTTACATTGCCAGGTCACACACTGATAAGTCAGTCAATAAATATTTATTAAGCACCTACCATGTACCAGACACTTTGCTGCTATGTGTTGGGGATGCAAAGAAGATAAAAACATTCTCTGCTCTCAAGCAGCTCACAGTCTAAAGAGGAGGGGAAAAACATGTCAACAGCTACATACAGGAATAAAAATTCAAAATAATCAACAATGTCAGGGCTAGGATTCAAACCCACATTCTCTGATTTCATGTCAAAATAATTCATTTTTCTCTGCACCATGATACCTCCTTCCATACAGTTCTCTGAAAATGGGATATTAAAATATATCTATATCTATATCTATATCTATATCTATATCTATATCTATATCTATATCTATATCTATATCTATATCTATATCTATATCTATAGATATATATTCTGTTCAGTGGATTAAATAAAATATGCTAATTTAATATGCATTGAAAGTACTGAATCATATAGAATGCTCTGGGTTAATTAGAGACACTTTTCCAAAGAGTTGGCTTTTAGGTCAGATTCTAAAAATACAGAGATTTTGTTCTGGCAGAGGAGACAGCTGGATAATTTTAGGCATGGAGAATTTCAGTAACAAAATCCAACAAATGCTTATTAAGCTATTTGTGTTAATATTTGATAGAATGGTTAGTGTTACTGGTGATTCTAATTCTTTTTGGTTATGCTTTCTTGTCTTACAAAGTAGCAAGATTGCTTCTTTCTCTTGGAACACTAAGTTTTACTTTCTCTTATCTTTCTATCCTTCCCCAATAGCAAGAAGTAGCAACAAATGTGGTTGCTTTAGTATCTTTGCTTCACAACCATGATTATTTTTATGGTAGCTCAAATCTTTGTTGAACTTATTCTAATAAATAATAAGAAAGAACTCTCTAGTGGTTAACTTACTTTTCACATTGAAATCTATTTTAATTATAATTAGAAATACATTTTGTTATTAAAATTTTAATTCTTTGAAATGTAGGATTTTTTTTTCTTTTAGACACTTATTGTGGCGTGGATCAGAGCAAATCTGTGCGTTTATATTTCTCGAGAACTTTGGGATGATTTTCTTAGTGTGCTGTCTTCACTTACTGACTGGGAGGAACTCATAAACGAATGGGCCAATATCATGGATTCATTAACAGCAGTGTTGGCCAGAACAGTTTATGGAGTTGAAATGACAAACCTACCATTGGATAAATTGAGTGAGCAAAAAGAAAAGAAGCAAAGAGGCAAAGGTAAGTTTTTATCATTGTATGCTAACATTGGATCTTGAATACTGTAGTTTCTAACATAAGTATCATGTCAACAAGTGCCTACCTAGTAATATTGGAATTTAGTAAATTATCAGCAGAAGATATTAAAAAAAAACAAACCCTGAATCACTCTGTTGTGTCCCAGATTACTCTGCTTTTGGGACTCTTATTTGGGTTGGATCTGGGTAAATAAGGAGAGGTCCTCATAGGCTTCTAAAACTGAGTTTAAAGGGAAGAGTTTGGAAGAAAGATATGTGAATGCTAGTATTACCATTTTTTTTTCAACCCTTCAGATTAGTAGAGGCTATATGATTCAGAGCAGAAAAAGGTTAATGGTACTGGGTGGCAGCACTTACTATAAGTAATTTAATATCCCCTTTCTCATAGCATTGCAATAAACATTTAAGGGCTATAATTTTAAAATTTAAAAATTTTCTGTTGTGCATCAATTTAACCTTCCTCAGAAATAGTATTTGCAAAATAGGTCTTAACATTTAATGATTTAACGTTGCTTGCTTAGAAATGGATTTTGAATATGTTATTGTGAGAGAAAATGCTATAAAACCACCTTCAGTAGTGGAGATATTTATATTTTATTCATTAAAATTTTTTATTTCATCACATAAGGCATAGTCATCCAGTTTGGGTGATATAAAGGTTTCTCCCCTCTATCCTCCAGTTTATTTGTGGGCTTTTCACATTTCAATGATTATCTCCTAAGTAGTGTGATAACAGATGCTATAATGGGAATGAAAACTTAGAGTGGTTACTCAATTTACTACTTGGTATTAATGTTAAAAGTTTACTTTTAGACTAGGATGGTGAAGCAATTGGATAAAAATAATTTTTGCAAGTGTGTATTTCAGCTATCCTTCCTTTATTCTATTTAATGAAGATTTCATTTTATTTGTTAGGTTACAAAATATAAAGATGAATTTCTTGTGGGTTAAATGATCAAATGGATGGAGTACTGTTCTAGGCATTTGGAGGCTGGATTACTATTTCTTGCTGCTACTATTATTTTTAGCATTGCTTTTGTTACTTTTTTGCATTCAAGAAAGTTTGTTAAAATGGTATCACTCATATTTGCAAAAAATACTCTAGAAGATATTAATTTTAGTTTAATACTGTATGGCTTCATTAGCATTAATGAGGAGCTTTGAGCTTGTCTAAGGGAGTCAAAGGATTTTTTAAAAAAGTTAATAGATAATTTTCTAAAAAAACCTTAAAATATACATCTGTAACTACAGTACTGTAAGTAATTTTTTAAAATAAGGAAAATATTTAATTTGTTTTTGCCTTAGGTTGTATTTCAGATTCACAGAAAGCCACTGCAGTGGGGAGGTCATTTTCTTTGAGTTGGAGAAGCCATCCTGATGTTACAGAACCAATGAGATTTAGGAGTGCTACCACATCTGGAGCTCCAGGAGTTGAAAAAGCAAGGAATATAGTCCGTCAAAAAGCAACTGGTAAAAATTCCTCAAATGTTATGTTGTTTTATGAACTATCTAGTATGTTTAAATATTGAGTGAAAGATTGATGCAAAGTAGTTGTCTAATTTGGCCAGATATTTTAAATAATGAGTATATTATAATCTTGGCTATTGGCATATAATCTTGGATCAGCTATTATGTAAATTATTAAAAGTAGCTACTTTTATGAAAATACTAATATATTTCAATGAAGCAAATTATTTTTTAGAAGTTATTTGTCTTTAATTGGTAAAGAGGCTTGTATTTTCTTGTTTCCAATACTCTTGAGCTTTCTGGGCATCTAAATATAATTTCATAAATAATAATAGACTTTCTTATGTTTAGGGACATTTGTATGTAATCATGTTTATACAATAAAACCTTTACTATGACAGTCCTTAATTAACTGGAATATTTTGTTACATTTTCCTTTAATGAAAAAGAATCCACAAAAAAATAAACTTACTTTGGGGACCTAATGAAAACAAACAAAAAAACCAAAACAAATTCCAGTAACTTCCAGAGTCAGGTCTTTGACTTCCAATTCAGCCCACACATATATGCTTTATATATCAGATTTGTGACTCTCAGTTTCTATAACTTGCCCAGTTATCAAAGAACAGTTTAATTATACTGTGTATTCTGCAATTCTTAATAAAACATCAGCTTTGAAACTGAGCCATTTTAGAGAGATTTCCAAGAAGTGTTAACCAGTTACTTTAACACTTCATTCTCAAAGCAATGTGATAAATTAGTTTCTTTGGATACCAATTTTTGAAATTAATGCCACATTTTAAAACTAAAAAATTTTAGGAAATTGAGCAATAAAATATTCTTGTGAAACTCAATTATAAAATATACTAAAAATTTGTTTGGATTTTTAAAAGCTGCTACTGTATTAGACAACTCATCAGAACGCATCTTTGTCCTGTTCTCACCTCCCACCTTCTCAGAAGGCTGATAATTGCCTTAAGGAACATCACAATAGTCTAATTAGCCTTACAAGAAAGAGAAGGGTATCTTCTCTCCATAGAAGAGCTATCAAATTGTCCTGGACCCTTCACTGTCCATACCTCTTAGCTTCACTTTGGAAAATATGTTTCTCATTCACTGGGGAAGATAGGGCATGGAAAAGCTGTAAGTAAAGGTACACAAATATGTTTCTCTTTACTGCCCTATAAAATTCCTATTCTCAACTGTCCATGGTCTCTAGTACAAAGTATAGAATGGCGTTACTACTTAGCTATGATATAACAATGAGAAAGATTAGATTTTTTAAGAAGTGAATACTTAATATAATGATAGCATATTTTTAGTAATATGGAATGTTCTATAATGAGTTATGCTACTAAATTAATGTTAATAGGTATTCTCAGAATTATTGAGATTCAAGGCACAACTTAAGAATTTTAAAATTAAAATATTTGCAAAGTATTTTAGTATTTGTAAAATATGCTAGTTTAAAAAGTCCATTATTTGTAGTGGTTAATATTTAAATTAGCAATTGATTTATAACTGGATTTACCCTCTATGTATTTTTCCTGTTTAAAATATTTATTTCATACGCTTGAAAAATAACAAAAATAATTGTAATGAAACTAATGTTCACACTAGTATATTTTATTACTACCTCGCCATTAATAGGGAAAAGCCTAGAAAGCTAATCTATTCAACAAGGATTAGTCATTTTTATTAAGTTTTCATTAAAAATATAAATTCATTTTGTCCTAGGTAAGATAACATTTTGTATTTAGTGTTTGATTTGTAGAAGGGTAACATTTTTCTGTAAATACAATAGCATGCAATGGAGTTAATGCTGCATTTAGTAGTAATATTTAATCCATTTGGAAGTGCCATTTTTCTTTTTCTTTAAAATAATCTCTTAAATTTCTTGTCTTTTGACTTGCATGATGTTTTACAGTTTGGTAGAAGAACTGCCAAAGAGGGAGGGGAGCAGCTACATGAGTTCAAAAAAGAAAAAGACAATGAAGTAATTCAAACACTTGACAGTTTAAGAGAACTGCTGAGGCTAGTTTTTAGGAATCATAATATTTTATCTGAGGCAATGAGTGATTACAGAATTTTAAATATGCAAACTGATAATAGTCGTTTGGAAGTAAAAGGGAACTTCAATGAATTGTCAGTAAAATAGCCTGAACCATTTTGTGGTGAAGGAAATACTCAAACTGAAGAAATCAAATACCCTTTAAGTATTGAAGATTTATAAGAAGGAAAGTGGACAAATATAAACAAGGTTGTTGTATTTTGCCTTTTTAACACTTTAAAGGTTTCTTTTACAGGACAGATTGAAAATCAGTTTTAAATTCATATGGAGATAATTTAACATTAAAACAGAATATGTACAGGGACATACTTTATGCCTTAACTTAAACATTTGAGTAGGAAAAATATAAAAGAGGCCCATAGACTTCACCACACTGCCAAAGGTTAAGCCTAGGTTTAAGATATTCTTTACCTGTATGTTTGTCACTGTCTATTCATAGTTTCCTTTTAGAATCGAAATAAGAATAGAGAGCCAGACCTTTGATTTCCCTAAGAGGGAACTTTCAGATGAGGAAACTTCCTTTTTTTAATACAAGTTGACATTTTCTCTGTAACTAATATACTCAGAGAGTGGCCCAGAGTGTTGATTAGCCAGTATATGTCAGAGGCAGCACTTGAACTCAGATGTTCCTGGCTCCAAGGCAAGCTATTTATTCAATACACCATACTGCATTTCAAGTTTTCTTTAGCAGTATGCAAATAAATATTAAGATTGTATAAATAAGTAATTATTTAAATTGCATCTATGTGAAGAAAATGAAACTGAAATGGGTGACTTATTTGCAGGACCAAATTAACCCAAAAACCAGAAAAACAAACAAAAAACTCCACCCTATACTGTTGTTGCATTAACTGTTGATTTGTAAAATTTTAGATGCCATATACTGAAAGCATACCTTTTAGTTGAAATGGTGGTGGTTTTTCATATGAAGAGTTTTCTGTCTCCTGAGAAATACTGATATGTATATTTTGGATAATAGGGAATTTCATGGTCTTGATACCTGGAAATCATGTGATTTCCATGCAGCATGTATAGAGTTAGTATATAAGATCAGTTAAACCAAGTATTTCACTATTATTCACATATATTAGGGGAAAAAAATCTCATTTTTGGTTGCTGCATATTAGTATAGTTTGGGAACATTTAAACTTTTAAGTGAAAATCTGTTTATGTATATAGTCATCTTTCATTTGCTTACTTTGTGGATTATCTGTAACCCATTTTAAATCTCAGTCTGGATTTCCTTTGCCACTCAGGATACCTCCCTCCAACATCAGTATATCTGTACTTATTATGTAATGCAAATTCATTTTAATATCAGCTTATGCAAAATGTAATTACAAAGGTAAATCTGCTGCTGTAAAAACAAAATTAAAAAGCCCCAAATAAAAAACCTGAATGATCTTTCATTCAACATAAGTGATTTTGGCATCTGTGCCACTTTTTCCTTCGTTACAAGAGGTGGTTGTGACTGGATTTAGAAATTTAAACAGACAAACTTTAGGTGTTTAGTATCTTTGCACTTGACTATTCCATTTTAATACATATTTAATACATTTAATACATATTTAAAGAACACGGAAAGTTTTTTTAAATGATATTAATATTCTTCTGACATAATTATTACTTTATTATCTTTCCTGGAAGCTAAGCGAAGCCAGTCTATCAGCAACTGTGCCCACCTTTCTGAGGCTTTGCCAGCCACTAAAAGTGTACCTCTTCTGCTTCATACTGTGAGCTCTCTCTTACCTGGTATCTCTTACACTTCTTGCTCTCACAGGGTGTCAGGTACTGTACTTAAACCTCATTCATATCAACTTGCCATGTAATCTTCCCTTTCTAGTTTTTTATCACTTGTTTATATTTGAGCAGTCTGTCTTAGTATGTTGTGCCCATAAATAAACATTCTATGCTGTTTTTATAGTGTTTTTGCAGAATTTTCTGTATAATCAATTTTCATTAGTTGTTAGATGCTTATTTTTCTTAGAGGTTTAATAGAAAAGGATATTACCTAGTTCTTTACAAAGTGATAGCTTATACTTTAGCAATTTTTGTACTTTTGAGTTTTAATTCATCACAACAGTATTCATTGTCAAAAAGGGGAAAAAATTGCCACAATTCTTAATTGGAAGACTACAATAGAGTCTTGCATATAACTTTATTTTGTTTTAGGTAATGCAGTTTCATTAAAGGACAGAGAAGTTTTATTATTGCAGAGAACAAATTTTGAGTGAACAAATTGGAATGGTTATACTTGGCATTATAAAATAAAATGGGGATTGATGGTGGGGTAATATATATATCCATAAAGGTTTTCTTTTGAAGTTGACTTTAAATCCTATTTAGCAAAAAGCCACTTATCAATATATACATTATTGCTGATGGTTAAAATTTATTAAAATGAACCATTGATTTAGTTACTAATTTGCAAAAAACCCCAAAAAACAAAAAAAACACCCCTTCTGAGTTTCATGCATTTAAAATCATATTTAACCATGTGAGGCTTAGACACACACACGTATATGTCTATATGTCATACCTGATTTGATTCTTCTCTTATTTTAATCATCTCAGCTAATTAATTTGATCTGTATTAATGGGTGTATTTTTTAATGTAACACTAAGAAAATGTTCCTGAAGCCCATTTGAAAGAGGGGAATAATTTCTACATATTTGTATTTCATTTGCTTCAGTGTTTTGAATGTTTTTATTTATTAGGTATTGACTTTAACAGTTTTGCCTATGATCTCTAGCACAGGTTGTCATGTAGTATGGTTTAGGAGGCCCAAATAAACCAGTTTGATTCCATTTTTAGGTGTACTTATGTTGTTACTGTCTACCTTAAAAAATTACAGTAAACTAGCTTGCCAAGGATTTATGAATAAATCCTTTCTAGGGTGATTTTGAACTAAAATGCAGTTGTCCTGGAAAA